TCTCTCTCTCTCTCTCTCTCTCTCTCTCTCTCTCTCTCTCTCTCTCTCTCTCAATGGCTCTACACCCATATCACCCTTCACATATTCACATATTCAATGGGTATTACAATAGAAACAACAACATGCCAGCATTTGCCGATGACGTTGAAATTAGCGACGAAGCTGCTCAATAAAATCCATTTCAATTGATGCTAAATTTCCGACACGCCGAGTTCACAGACAAATGTTAAAACGCCGAGCGAAATAAATTAAATGAAACGAAATGTTCAGGCAGTCAGATGAGAAATGCATTGTGGCTAAAAGTCAACAAACATATTTACAAAATTGAAATATGTGTGCGATCATAAAAGTCTAAATGTAAATGCTGTATTTTTTTTTCTCGTAAACAAGCTCATAAGTTATTCAGAGTATATGGGATATATAGAATATACAAACATATAGAAGATACTTGAAGTAGACTTGAAAGACATTCTAGAAAAATGATTTGGAGAAATTTTAAAGATCAATCAATCATCCATATCGATCAACTTGGAGATATCGATAACCTGAGAGTTCGCCTCATTGAATATAAATAGCTTTAGAAATATTTATTTATTGATTGACAAATAGATTGCACTTACTCTGAGCGAGTATTATGCAGTCAGTGTTAGCTCAATTCAATATATTCATTTTGCAGACTCACCATATGGGGAAATTTTTCTATTATTTTAGACTTAAAGCCATTTTTATGTTCAGCAAGGATTAGTGCAAAATCATAAACTCAATAGCAAATAGACTGATAAATATGCATATACTTATACGAGTGTACTCATGACTAATGAACAACGAATAATGAGTAGGCTTCATGCACAATTGAACGCATAAATTAGAAATGTTTGCATCATATGGTTTCAGTTGTAGTTGTAGTAGTGTAGTGGTTGGCTGGCTGGTATTGTGTGGTGCAGCAAATGACATCATGCCCCATCTCCAGAGCTGGCTCCATTCTTTCCCACAAGAGACTGACGAGCGATTCGGCCATTTAGACAAAATGTTAGCCGAGAGTCTCATTAGCACCGCGGGCAACTATTTTCGGTGCGGCAAATTGTCGATTTGTGTAACTGAATATGGCTCATGGGGGCTAGACGATGGCGTAATGCCGTATAAAGCGGGTTATAAATAAATATTACGGCTCGAAACTCAATATGAAACAAAACGAATACAAAAACAGAATCCAAATCAAGTATTGCTTTGATTCATAAGATGCCAGCTGTGCCTCTTATACGCCTAGAACTAACAAATGGACCACATAATTTCTGGCAAAACTCTAAACAGTCTCGAGCTCATCGAGCTAAACTAGCTGCGATGCTGCCATCATCTCAGCCGGAAGCTACTTCGAGTTATTTGCAATTGCTTTTATTCTGTTGACTTGAACCACATGGCGTATGCGCATTTCTCTCCTACGAACTGCGCCCACACACAGCACTTGCCGCCATTGGCTGCACAAGTTAATTGTTTATTAATATTTCAGCAAGCGCAAACAAATAGAGCCGCCAAACGTCAGAGCCAAAGGGAACATAAACTGCTGCGGGGGGCTGTTGCGGTGGGCAGCCTCAGGTGGCAGCACCTGGCATACCTAATTAGCGTGCTAAAGTACAGAAATTAACACATTTGGCAAAGCCTTTAGGCCAATTTAGCACCTGTAACTATTTGCCTACGTAGATTTTACGATATTAAGTGTGAGTATAGGAAGCTTAAGTGTGTCCCAGATATGAGCTTTATGAGGTTGGATTTTTAGACTCACATATACACATGTATATATGTGTGTGTATATGTGATATACAGCAGTTTATTTAAGAAATTGCTGACTTCAAAATCTAGTCAATGCTGCTCATTTCATTGTCATCTTTCAGTCCCATGAAAAAACTTGAAAACATATAAAACATGAGATGTTATATACATATACATATATACATATATGAGTGTATCTAAAATAAAACAAACTTTCATATCTTCAAGTATTTAAAGTTCTCTGGAATGGCATGTTTATATAAACACAGTCGTATATATGTTCATATCTGATTGGCCTTAGCTCATTTATAAAATAAGTTGGGGCCACCAACTCCTGCTATTGCCTGCTCATAAAAATAAATGCTATAAAAAGAATATAATTGTGCTTTATTTTTGTTTTCTTTTTCCATGCTAAGCTAAACTATGTGTGTGTGTGTGTGTGTGTGTGTGTGTTCTTGCTTTAATGTCAAAGTCATTCATCAATATTCGTTTACACATTTTCGAAAAATAATAAAAACATTATTGATGAAAGCCGCATTCCACTCACTGAGACAGACCCAATGACAGGCGCGACAGACGAACAAGTTGCCATAATTGATCAAAAATATATTTTTGCTGTCAATTTGGTGGCCAATGAAGGCGCCGGCTAAGAAATTCACTTAGAATGTATACATATATATGCATACATATATAAATATATGTATGTATATCTAATAGGTATGTGCAGCTGAAGGTTGTTTCTTTTCGCCCTTTTGTAGGCGAAGGTCTTGGATAAAAGAGATATACAAAGTATATAAATATTTATAGTGACATATTTACAGCATAAAACATCTTCAATATATATGTACATGTATATAATCTTGTAAAATATAAAAAAAAAAAATATATAAAATAAAGTAAAGTATATATGGTACAAACATACGATTTAGATTGCGCACATCGCCCGTTGTTAGCTTTCCCTGTTTGTATTTGCTTATCAGCTCCATGCTGGCATTTTATGTGGTGTTTCGTATTTATATTGCTATAAACGCGATATATAACACGATATATGCTCGATTAAACACTTTGTGTACAAAATCCACAGTATGTATTTTTAGCTTTTAGTTTACGCACTGTTTCGATTGCCTGGATTACATATGTAAGGCAGAAAGAAATATGTGATTTATCTTGAATTCACATCAAATTTTCGAATTTTATTTGCCACATTCATTTAGTTTTATGCGATTTTTACGGCTAGATATTCCGAATAGAAAATCAATAAATTTTGGATGTGTGTGAAACGCAATAAATATTAACAAAAGTCATAAATAAAGTAAAATTGGCGCTAGCTCGATTTATAGGGTCAAAAGTTTAAGCAGATGGAATAATGAAGATCTGGCCTACTGACGGGGCTAATTGAATCACTGAAAGGCCAAGTAGCTGACTGAGTGAGTCTGATTGATTGACTGATTAATTGATTGATTGACTCTGTGAAGCATGGACCGTGAGAGTGAGGGACTAACTAAGTGATGAACTGATTGACTGAAGTGATAGAATATCTAATTGATAAACTGATTGACTCACTGGTTGAAAGATGAACTGATTGACTATCTATTTGACTAAATGGTTTACTATGATTGATTGACCGATTGGCTAAAGAATAGCTTGACTATCACTAATTGACTAATGGAATAATTGACTGGATACTTGGTTGACCGATTGACCGATTGACTGCTGAGTGCTGACCTATTGAATGTAAGACTTACTAGTCGACTCATTCAATAATTTTTTGATTGACTAGATTGATTCACTCATTAAGTGACTGACTGAATAGAATGAATGAGTATTTGAATGACTGTCTGACTGGCTGACTGATAGATTGACAGATTGCCCGGCAAAAGAAATAAACAACTGATTGCCCTGCAGTTACCATTATGAACTGATTGACTGATTAAGGGACTTGAAATTGATTCGAAAAAAGGCTGTCCAAAATTAGAATATACACAATATTCGGCCCACTCAAGGCTGAGCAATAAACTTTACTTAGTACGTAAAAAGTACACAATAAACAGTTCAAAGACTGCAATTCCTAATGAAGATAATTTGCCTATTTCTCGGACATTTTGATGGCATTCAATTGTTGTTATGTATGTATGTGCCGTTAAATTAACACCTTTTGTTAGGTTTTTTGGGGACGCGTGCCCCAAACTCCTTACAGACGACTAAGGCATGCCATTAGCTCTATAAATAGAAGTTTGTTTGGCGCAGACAATCAAGACGCCCGACTCCAGCCGTGCATATCGCAGTTCAGGGTCAGCTCAAAAAACCCCCCAAAAAATAATAGGGGCAATTTCATTGAATATTTATGCTATTTACATAATGTCGTATCTAACATTTGCATAAATGCGCTCAAGCGTTGGAAAAACAAAACCGATTCGTTGTGTTGTCGTATCGAAGCAAAACAAACAAATGAAACGAAAATCACGCGAGGCACGAGGAACACGAACCGCAGCTCGAGGCAGTTGCTCAGACACTGAGGCGGCGGCTAGCGTTTGTGAAAACATATTTCTCCAGCGTTTCGCTCAAACAGCAGCAAAGCAAAGTATAGGAGAGCCAACGCATCAGAGAGAGACAGAGAGAGGGAGAGAGAGCGTAAGGTGAGTAGAGCGAGAGAGCTAGATTGTGTGAGCGCGTTGCTTTTGAGTTTTGTTTTGATTTTGCCAGCCTGCAACTGGTTATTCGAGTTGTTGTAATTGTTTCTCACGTTTTTGTTTTGCTTTTGCATTCTCATTCATGTTTGTTATTTTTCTGTGTTGTTTGTTATTCTTCTTGATGCTCGAATCACATTTCGGCGCGATGATGCGGGCGTATGCGTAATATTGTGGCTCTCGTACGAATCCAAACTAAATTAGCATAGTTTTTTTAGTTTTCAGCTAAGATTTCATCCAAGTTTCAAGTATTATTTTAAGGTATTCAAATTTCTTGCCTTTGATATTGAGTTTTTGTGAGTTAGTTTCTCTTTCAGGGGCGCAATTATCGGCGATGACCTTGAAAATGAAAGCCGCTTACACAGCTCAAGGTGAGCTTAATTAACAACCACAATGGGCTGATTCCCATGTGTGTGTGAGCCACCAAGGATTATGCATTTACATCGCGTGCTAGGCGCACGTCTAGTTTTCCCCTTTTTTTTTCGCTTTCTTTTCGTTTTACAAAAAAACTTCATCTGGCTGCTGATAAACCTTTTCACTAGGGTTTCCAGCAACTCATTTTCGCATTTCATTTGCTTATCGAGTGCAATTTGTTCGAGCTGCATTGCAATTACTAACTATTTAGCGGAATGCATATTAAACAAAAGAGATTAGAGGCGAATGTAGAACATTAATGGGTTAGATTTTGATAAGTATTAGTTGAGCATACGTATAACATATTTATATTGTGAAACAGATCCTAATTTATGTAACTGTTGAATAATCCAATTGGTCTAATTCTGAAATAAAGATATTATATATAGTCGTATGATACTATGTATGCATCTAATTGGATAACTTAGTGATCCTAAATTATAAAGCTAAATATAGTAGAAGAATATTAATCCAATTGAAAACTTTAGTGATCCTATACCTAGATGTAGAATATATCAAAATTATTCCAACTGGTTAATTTGCTAATTATACGTTTCGTAACTATTATTATAAGTTGTCCAAATTAATAGTTGACAAACTTTCGTAGATTTCAATTATAGCAATTATAGTTTTTCCGATTTATGCATGCTTTTATATATACTATTTCTTTCTATTAATCGAGTAATAGAAGAGTAATTAATATGCCACTTTTTCATTGCAATAGAATCTGAAGTATTTTCGATATTCCTCACTCCGCAGAGGTCATTAGGCTATGAGTTTAGTAGGTTTAGAATAGGTTGTGATATTAAACATTTAAAGCTTTTTATTTTAAAAGCGTCCAAAGTATAATGGCACTCATACTGAACTCTGAACTTGACCTTTAATGATGAGACAGGGGTGTGCACGACTTCATACGGATGAGCAAACCGGCGGGCAGTAATAGCGATATGAATTTTCTCACTGGGTGAAAAGGTTTTAAATGAATATTACAGGGTATAACATTTACCACTTGAAAGTATATTTAGCAATGTCAATGGTCAAATAAAATATCAAGTTTCTCGTCAGACACATACAAATCCACATAGTATATATATAGAGTACAATAAATGTGTGTACACATTGGACCACACAAGCATTTAGTCGACATGATAAGAAGTGTTATTTATTTAGCGTGAAACATAGGCTTTGGCACACTCGAATGCCATATCAACTCCATGTACACATAGTTCTTTGAAAATGTCAACAGGAAACATTTCCTGAGCTCATTTCTTGTTAAAAATGTTGATTGAAATTAGCGCAACGTTTATACATATGTATATGTATATATGTTTTTACAAATCTAAAATTTGTTTTGTCATCTTGCTAATGGAAAATTCTAAACAAAACATATAGGCATACATACATTCAGGCACACACATGTTCACATTTACATCACATAAATATAAACAGCCATTTATTATTTACCTTCCTCTGGACATGTGTGAAAATAGAAACGTGGCTTTCAAATTGGCGATGACGTTGTCGGCTTATGCAAATTAGCAATAGCTATGACTACATTTCATGGATTTATTACACTGTTACAGGCAACAGACATACGGCTACAGATGGAGATACAAAACAAAAAATACGAGGAACAAGATATATTGCACTGTAGATAAATAACATTTGATAATCAATCATATTGACATGATTAAATGCAAACTACAGCTGAAGGACATCAACAATATTGAATGAGTTACAAAGCGTATAATTAATTGACTTATGGCTTACATGACGTATACCCAAGTTTTGTTGTCTTTAAACTTTTTCTTTTTAAAAATACTAAAAAATAAAAAATTTTGTATATAAAAAAAAATTTTTTAAATTGTGAAATAAATTATTTTCTAGATTTTCCTCACTGTACTTTATGCTCAGAAGAAGCAGATATTTTTATCCTGATGATAAATTGGAATATATATCTTTAAACCTAATAATGGACTCCAAAAATGTATAACATTTTATATTCTATTAACATTGAAAATTTGTCTGTGCAATTTTATCCTGAGGATAAGTTGCTTAGAATCAATAAAGATATCCAATTTAATCCTAAGGACAAATTCACGCAGCAATTATAGCTCCATTAAAATGTAAAATTCATCTAGTACGACTTGCAAATTGAATTTTAAAATGTAACTATTTTCAATCAATTTAATCCTGAAGATATAGAGCTTAACCCACTCAATAGGATTTGTATATTCTTGTAGCTAGAATTTAGGTATTACTATGACCTTCAAAATGTAGCCATTAAAATGTATCCCGAGGATAAAATACTTACACTCATAACGCACAACTGTGCGTCGAGCCTCCTGCGTCAACATCTGCAGGCTTTCGCCTATCCGGCGTATCCTGTGCGGCGTGCTCTTCAGCGTATTCGCTGTCATACTGTGCGCTCCGATACAAGTGTAATAAAACTGTGCCAGGCATAATTATTATTTACGTGCTACAAGTGCCTTCTACATGAGGCAAACAATTAACAAAATTGCAATGCAAAAACTTAGCACTTGGCTGCGCATTTTTATTTTTATTTTTATTTTTATTTGTATTTTTTTATTGAAGAGCACTCGAAATCCAGCCAAGTCGATGTTTAGCAGAAGCGAGCGCGTTCGAATAAACGTTCAAACGTAACGAATGCTCGACGTGAACTGTGAAAACGGCACAAGAAACGCGACTGAGCGTATGAGTGTGTCAGTGTATGTGTGTGGCGTGTGTGTGTGTGTGTGTGTGTGTGTGTTTTGGTGTAAGGCAAATTCTAATTTGTTGGCGTCACTAGTCGGTGGTAAGAAACTGAGCATAGATGCCAGACTCAGTCAGACAGACAGTCAGCCAGTCTTCTGTCTAGGCAGAGCAGCAGTCTATGGTATGAGTGTCTGTGCGTGTGTGTGTGTGTGTGTGTGTGTGTGTGTGTGTGCATGTATGTGTGTTAGCCAAAAGTCACCCCTAAGCAAAGGACCTGCACGCACCGGTGCCAATGACCGACCCAGTCAGCGTTTTGGGACACATTTCAGATCCCTGGGCGGAGTATTACGTATGCGTGCCCAGCTAAGTTTTTTACTGTTAATTAGCAGAGTCCTGAAAACAAAACCAACACCTGGCATTTGTTTAGACAAAAGCAAAACAATAACAAATAAGAGAAGCTTAGAGGGCAGCACTCAACTAGAAAATACCCAGACCTTTATATAATGATATCATATGTCATCATAGAATCAATATTCCCTTGCATAACTCCACTTAAGGAATAATAATCCCATTTTGTAACTCTTTGAATTAAATTGCATTTTTATTTTATGAAAAATACTCGTTTGTTCCTTAAATAAATTAGTTTAGTTTAGTTTAGATTTAATGTTTTACTTTTAGTTTTGTATAATGCGCGGTTTACTTGGTGTTAGTTACAAAGAATTGTCGTTTGCATTTTGCTTAGGTTACAATATTTTCTTATTATTTTTATTATTATTATTATTATTATTGGTTTTGTTTTTTTTTTACAAAAAGTTCTTACACACATAGATAATTGCTAGATTTATTGGTGTTACATTAGACTAAAAATTTCATAAAACATTTGTGCAACAAAAACGCATTGCAATTACATTCTTCTTCTTTCTCTATTGTTGTTTACTTGCCCGCTCTATAAATAAATATAAAATTAACATACTCTGTATATATATATAGATATATATAATTTTGTATATATATAAATTTAATCAATTTGTTGAAATTATTTGCCGAACAATAGAATAAAAAAGTGCTCGCATTTTTCTGTTTTTAACAATTTGTTTGCAATATATTATTACATATATACAGTACAGTATATATATTATTAAAACCCGATTGTTTGAACAAATTTGAGTCGATAGATCGACACTTAGTTTTGGTTACTTACTAGCTAGATTGTCTATACATAGATTTCGACTACATATAATACTACGAGTAAATGTGGTTTACTTAATGGGCAGGGCTTTCTTTTAAATATATATGGTGTTTGGATTCTCGAATTGTAAAATGTATAAATAAATTTTGATTTTGTTGCTTTGTGCTTAACACTTAACTATAGATCAAACATTCAGATGTTGACATTATATCATATGAGTAGAATAGTATGTGTGTTAGTGAATATTACAAACAAAATTACAACAAACAAAGCTTGATGAATTATTAAAATCAAGTTAATTGTGAATTGTATATAAATTAGGCTCTCATAATGGGGATAAAGCTCAAAATTAATTAAAATCATAAAATAGAATATTTTTAATTAGACTTGAGTGGACGTAAGTAACATGGAATTGTTTTTAAATCGAACAAACTTACAAATTAATACGTAGCTCTCTCTCATGACTCCAATGCATTTCGTAGTCGAAATTTGGAATCTTGGCAAATAAATAGTTAAATACGGTGATTAGTTAGACTAAATTAGCAACGAGATGAGTGAAATAAATTACAATATCAATAAGCAATATAAGAAATCATAAAACATAACAGGAAACGTGTGTGCAATACTATTCTTGTTTCAATAGAACTCCGCGTGGATTGTTGTTGGCTATTCGAGTAGCCGCCTGGCTCTGGATTTTCGTTTATGTTTTGCGGGGAATGAGTTAAGTTAGGGGATGTTATTATATATTAGCAGTTGTAGTTGTAGTTGTAGTTGTTGTTGCAGCTGTTGTTGCTGCAACGTTAGCCAGTGCGTAATCTAGTCTATTTGATGCGCCGCTGCGGCAGTGTAGGACTCTCTGGTGGCGTATCGCCAGCCGCACTGCCACCGGAACTGCCGCCCACGACAATGTGTTGCAGCGAATGCTTCTTGGTCACACCCTTAAAAGGCGCGCCCAGTTTTCGAGGACCGCGCGGCGATGCCGACGTAATGCTGCTATTCGAGTTGGCCTCCATGGCTGCCGTCGACCCAGCTGAGGCAGAGGGCGCTATGCCCAGCGCTGGACCCGCATCGATGGATGCCTGTACCCAACCTGCAAACACATCCAAAAAGTCAACAAACCGATTTTAAAGCTTCTATGGCAATCGAAAGTACCTTTGACAGAGGCGCGATTGTGATCAATCAAGGCGGCGGCCAGCGGTGCAGCCGAGCTGCTCGTATTCGATTCACGCAATGTGCTCAGAATGGACACGGGCATGGGGTTGTAAATGCGACTGGCAAAGTCCTCGAATGTGGTGCTCTCTTTGTACCGTGATGAGACGCTTTCCAGCGAACGATTACGCTCCTCATAGCTAAGCAAAAAAACAAAAAGGAATAGTTGAGATTGGAGGACAGGCGAAAGGCAACTCAAGGCTCTACTCACAATTGCTGGTAGAGCGGCAGGGCGGCGCGCTTGGTGCGACTCGCGTTGATGGCCGTGGCGCGTATGAGCGTGGCCAGGCAGGCGCCACTCACAACGCTCTCGTTGGCAAGCGGCCCAAACCACGGCACCTCCGGCTTGCGATTGACCGTCACACGAAACAGACCGTTGCGCAGCGGATACACAACGATAAGCACATCGCAAAACTCTGTGGGCAGTATGTCGCGTCTGTAGTCGCGATGATGCTCGCTCCAGACAATGTGCACCTCGTCGTTGCCCAGATGACGTGTCTTTAGGAGCATGGCCTCCGAGGAGTCCGAGGGCATGCGCGTCGCCACGTGGTAGATAACCTCCAGAAAGGGCGTGGCATAGTAGGGGGCCGTGGCGCCGCAGCCCTGACGCGGCAAGCCGCCCAGAAAGCCATTGTGCGTCTCCAGCTCTATCTCCCAGCCGAGCGCCGAGACGAACATCTCGTACATGCTGCTGCCATTCGTATTACGCAAGATGCTCGTCTTGTCCTCCTGCCCGGCGGCCACATAGATGACGGCCATCTTGTGCGTCTCCCGGCACTTCTGCAGGTCCACGTTGCGTAGCTCGCGCAGCAGCTTCTCGCTGCGCTGCAGCAGATGAGTGCGCGACCGCCGCTCCCAGCCGGCCAGACCCAGGTGGGAGAACAGCAGGCGACAGTATTGAAATGGTGTCTCCACACGGCCGGGCAAGCTGCCAGCGCCCGTGAACGAATCAAATGAGGCGGATGCGCTGTGCAGCGACCGCTGATCCGGCTGCAGCAGCGACGAGCTGGAGCCAGCACCCGTGAGCGGCTGCTGGGCTGAGTGAGCCACGAATTCCTGCTCCAGCACGCGCTGATTGAGTATAACGGAAATGGCCTGCGCCTCCTGGGCACTGCTCAGCGGACTCAGGCTGGGCGCATTCAGCTCCGAGATGGTGGGCGGCACGCACTCTGGACTGGTGTGCCCTATGTAGGCCAGCATGTCGTCCAGCTGGTCCAGATCGGGCGCCACATCCTTGGCCAGCGGCAGCACTCCAGGCGGTCGATGGCGCAGCGTGTGTCGCGGCAGCTGCGGCTGCTGCTGTTGATGCACGTGCAACGAGTCCATGGACTGGCAGACCTTTGCCAGCGTCGCCGGTCCATCGTAACGCTCCGAGCTGTACTGTGCATGCGCCGGCGTTGGTATTGCATTGTCTTTGCGAGGCTCCGAGTACAAGATGGAGGCATCCCAGCACGCCTTGCCATTCAAGTCACGCATCAGCACACGGACCTGCTTCTCGGCAGTCACCAGGCCGGCTGTGATGCCTCCGCCGGGCAGCTTCAGCGTGGGCAGCTCTATGAAGCTGGCCACGACGCCCGTGTTGAGCATGAACAGCTGCAGATTCTGTGCGTTGACCACCGAGGGCAGCTCCATAGAGTCGCGTCGCTCCAGCTGACTGCCCGACTGACCGCCGCTGGCCACGCCATAGATGTCATCCTGCTCCTCCACCATCGAGCTCAGCCGCGAAGCACCAATGCCCATGGGAAAGTGACCCAGATGCGTCACCAGATGCATAGCCACGGCCCGCGCACACAGTCGAATCGCAGAGATGCAGGCCTGTATGGTCTCCGATGTCTGGTAGCTAGCCTCCGGCAGGCGGCCATCGCCCTGCAGATCGTCGCTGGAAATGTGCATGTCGAAATCCTCGTCCGCTGTGAGCTTGACGCGCTCGTGGCGCGGAGCACCCGACGCCACCTGCAGCAGAACCCGCAGGACCTGCAGCATCAGCGTGTCGCCCTGGTCGTTGTAGGGCGCCAGCATCAGGCCAGCCGGTATGGCCATGCAGAACTCGCCGAGGCAGAGCATCAGCGAGGTCAGCACCACCTTGTCCGCATCCTTGGGCTTCGACACGTTCTGTATTTCCAGGGCCCGACACAGTGCCGTGATGATCAGCTGCGGCACTCGCTCAATGGCCGCCAGCTGCTGTCCGCGCTCCGCGCACAGCTTGAGCGCATCCACGGCGATGACTGCGATGGTGTGGTGCTTGAATTGCAGCGCCTGGAGCAGCACCTGTAGCACCTCCCGTATGCGCGGATGAAAGCATTGTGCGCTCGTATCCCTCGGCAGCTGCACATCCTTGGGGTGGGGCACCGACTGCTGGAACTTGTCGCGCGGCTGCGAATTGCGCGTCGGCTGCGAGAGACGCAGCAGCAGCCACTGGCCCAGCTGGCAGAG